TTGTTCCCCCTGATACTCAACATTTTTACTCACATCTCCATCAACACTTTTGCCCCCAGGCACTTGGAAGAGAGAGGAAGGAAGATGGCCGCAAACAGTTTCATGGTTCTGACCACAAAACTCTACACAGCCCAGCCATGTTAAACTCTGTCTGGGCCAACCCCACAGAGACCAAGGACTATATTCTCTTACTTCTGCTTTTATGCCTGTCTCGTATCATTGTGGCTTCCATTCACAACCCCAATCACTTTTTATTCTGCTGCCTTTTTTTTTTAAGGAAGAAACTGAGAAACAAGTGTTAGGCAAGCAAGTGCTAGAAAACAATCATATGGCAATCTCCTTCGGTTCTCATAGCCTGAAAAACCCCCAAAAGCACTGTGGCCATGGAGAGGAAATCAGTGTGCCCCACTGGGTGCTGGTTATAGAGTCTCCTTGGAGTGTTAAAAGAGCACCTTAAACACAAATGTTTATAGTGGTTTTATTCATAATTGCCAAAACTTGGAAGCAATCAAGATGTCCTTCAGTAGGTGAATGAATAAACAACCTATGGTCCATCATACAAAGGAATATCATTCAGTGATAAAAAGAAATGAGATAGGGCATTATGGTGACATATGACATCCCTCCTTTTTATCTCCACCCCCCCTTTTTTTTTAAGATTTTATTTATCCATTTGAGAGAGAGAGAGAGAGAGAGAGAGAGCACAAGCAGGGATGGGACAGAGGAAGAGGAAGAGGGAAAACCAGACTCCCCACAGAGTGGGGACCCTAACATGGGACTCCATCCCAGCACCCCAAGATCATTATCTGAGCCAAAGTCAGACCCTCAACCAACTGAGCCACCAAGGTGCCCCTTTATCCCCTCTTTTAACAACTAAAAACTGACATCTGTCCAAAAACAATAGTGCCTCTGTGGAAGTTGTGAAATCCAGTACCATACACCAAGAGACCTAGGAGGAGTCTTGTCCACCTGTGCAATGGGTAATAGGCAGACAGACCTTGGTAAGAGCTGCAGAACCAGCAGTAGCCAATAAACTGGCCCTCACCCTCCCCAGCTGCAGTTGGGGAACATCTGGAGAGTACTAGTGGGCAGATACCCACAGATAAGATAACCTTTGTAGAAGTCCAGTCTCCCCAAGGACAGATGCCAGCACTCCACTGGAGGAAAAAAAAATACAAGTTTGGACCCATTGAAGAGGGTAAGAGGAACTTTGCCAGCATAACCTCACCCCACCCCACCCCAAGGCATCACAGCAGTCAAGCTGAACTAGCCTGCCGTGACCTCTCTCGAGGGGAAAAGGGAGAGGGTGAGTGAGTGCCTGGCTTCCCCAGCTGTGTGGGACACTTACTGGAAAAAAACATTTCCCCACAGCAGCAACCAGACTTTTGAAGCAGGTTCTCCATGACAGGAGTGAGGGAAGAAACCAGGAAAGAAGCAGATTAGAGTATCAAAGGGCATGAAAGGGATTTGGTTCTTGCTTGACTGCATTCAGGACTCCAACAGGAAACTCTGCGAGTGAGCTGATGAGAAAACCTCACCCAAGGAACCTCCTGCCTGGACTGCGGGAACCCTAAAGGCCCCGTGTTTAACACCCACACCTCCCTGCCCACTCTGCAGCCAGCTCCCTGGGCACATTCCCAAGTGTCGTGGCAAGAGCAAGGTCTGGCAAACAAGGAAGGAGTGCACTCCCAAAACAGGCCAGACTCTATGGGAAATGAAAACTACAAACTTGAGCTACAGCGCCGCCTTCTGGAAAAGAAGAGAGGTTCCCAACAGCCAGTGAGTTGTAAGATAGACATAGAAACCTAAGAATTCTGCCACAAAAGGGAGCAAGAAGCAGGTGTATCCATAAAAGGTTGGAGAAAGCCCCAGATAAAAGCAGAACCAACGAAAAATATCTCCTACCTGAAGCCAACTCGTAAAGATTGGAGGAGGTGATTGCTACTTCAAATGTGAAAACAGCAACACAAATCTCTAAGGGAATATCAAGAATCAAAGACACATGACTCATCAAAAGAAAACAATAATCCTCAAGTAACCAAACCAGACACAAAATTCTGTATTCTACCTGATAAAGAATTCAAAATAGCTGTTTTGAGGTCTCAAACAAGAAAACACAGAAAAGCAATTGAACAAAATCAGGAAAACAATACATGGACAAAATAAGAAATTTAAAGAGGAGATAGAAATCATAGAAAAAAAGAATCAAATATAAATTCTGGAGCTGAAGAATTCAATGAATGAAATTTTAAAATGCAATAGGAGAGCATCACAGCAGAATAGACCAAACAGAAGATAGAATCAGTGATGTACAGGTTAGGAATTTTGAAATAATCTCAGAAGAGAAAAAAGAGATAAGAATGAAAAAGAGCAAAGAAAGTCCACATGGTCTATTAGACCCCATCAGAAGTACAAACATCAGAATAATTGGAGTTCCATAAAAGAAGAGAGGTAGTCGGAGGCAGAAAGTTTACTTAAAGAATAATAGCTGAAAACTCCCAAACCTGAGGAGAGACTTAGACATCCAATGGGTTCATGAAACTAATAGATCATTATCTCAATGCAAAATGACCTTCCCCAGGACACATTATAATAAAACTGCCAAAATTCAAGGACAGAGAGAATTCCTAGAAGCAGTGAGAGAAAAAACGATTATAACCTACAAAGGAACCCATGTTAAGTTATCAGCAAATTTCTCAGCACAAACTCTGCAGACCAAAAGAGAGTGGAATGATATATTCAAAATGTTGAAAGAAAGACTTTATCTTGTGAAATTATCGTTCAGAAATAAGGTAGAAATAAAGACATTCCTAGACAAAGAAAAGCTGAGGCAGCTCATCACCACTATAACTGCCTTACAAGAAATGTTGAAAGAAGTTCTTCAAGCTGAAATGAAAAGATGCTAATTAGTAACATGAAAATATACAACATACTGGCAAAGATAAATATACAGTTAGATTTAGAAAACTATAATTCTGTAATATGATAGTGTGCTAGCCACTATGGTATAAATGTTAAAGAGAAAAAAGTATTAAAAATTACCATGACTAGGGCCCCTGTGTGGCTCAGTCAGTTCAGCATCCAACTCTTGATTTTGGCTTAGATCATGATCTCAGGGTTGTGAGATCAAGCCCCGCATCAGGCTCTGCACTGGACGTGGAGCCTGCTTAATATTCTCTCTCTCCCGGGCGCCTGGGTGGCTCAGTTGATTAAGCGACTGCCTTCGGCTCAGGTCATGATCCTGGAGTCCCGGGATCGAGTCCCGCATCGGGCTCCCTGCTTGGCAGGGAGTCTGCTTCTCCCTCTGACCCTCCCCCCTCTCATGCTCTCTCTATCTCATTCTCTCTCTCAAATAAATAAATAAAATCTTTAAAAAAAAAAAATTCTCTCTCTCCCTCTCCCTTTGCCCCTCCCCCCACACACTCCCACACGCTCTCTCTCAAAAAAATTTGATTTTTTTAATCTATGTTTTATGAAGGTCTCATGGTAACCACAAAGCAAAAAACTCTGGTAGGTTCACAAAAGATAAAGAGAAGGGAATTAGAGCATACCACCATGGAAAATCACGAATTCATAAAAATAGGCCCCAAAAAAGGAAAAACAGAACAATAATACTACAGAACAGCCAGAAAGCAATTACAAGACCAGTGCTCTAACCCCTGAGCTATGGAGCCCAGAAAGCAATTAATAAGATGGCATTATTAAGTCCTTACATATCAATCGTTATTCTAAATGTAAATGGATTGAATTCTCCAATCAAAAGGCACAGACTGGCTGAATAGATAAAAATAAGACCCAACTAAATGCTGCCTACAAAAGATTCATTTCAGTTTTAAGGACACATATAGGCTCAAAAGTGAAGGGATGGAAAAAGATATTCCATGCAAGTGGAAACCAAACTAAAGCTGGGGTAGCTAGACCTATATCAGACAAAATAGACTTTATGCCAAAAATGGTAACAAGAGACAAAGAAGGTAATTCTATAATGATAAAGGGTTCATTCATCAAGCAGATACAACAATCATAAATATATATGTACCCAACATCAGAGTACCAAAATATATTAAGCAAATACTAAGAGATATAAAGGGAGAAATAGAGAACATAGTAGAGGACATCAATAATAGTAGAGGACTTCAATACCACACTTCCAACAGTGGATAGATCATCCAGATATAAAGACAACAACGAAATGTTGGACTTGAAACAAATAGACCTAACAGACATAGAGAACATTCATCCAACAGCAGCAGAATACACATTCTTTTCCAGTATACATGGACAATTCTCCAGGATAGGTCATATGTTAGGCTAGCCTCCAGGGAACCCTTAAGACAGCTTCCAGACTAAATTTCATTTATTTATTTTTTTTTAACTTTTTTTTTTTTTAAGATTTTATTTATTTATTCATGACAGACAGAGAGAGAGAGGCAGAGGGAGAAGCAGGCTCCCCGCAGAGCAGGGAGCCCGATGCGGGACTCAATCCCGGGACCCTGGGATCATGACCTGAGCCAAAGGCAGACGCTTAACCATCTGAGCCACCCAGGCGCCCCTAAATTTCATTTAAACAAGAAGTTCAGCAACAAAAAGTTGGACTGTTAACTATTTTACACAAAGAGTATGTGCTACCTATAAGTAAATGATAAAGAATAATAATAAAATGCACACTTTTGTGCCTTCCAGCTTATGAAGAAAATTTCTTTAGTTCTTTTTTAACTCTTGTTTCCTGATTTAAATGTAACATATATTCACTATAGAAATTTTGCAAGATCCAGAAGGTAGAAAACAAAAATCACCACAATCCCGTTACCTTACTGCTAATATTCTGGTAACAATGTTTCCCTGTTTTTTCTGGATGTATATTATTTTTTCTGAAATTGAGATCCTATTATACAAATTGTCTTCTCTTTTCCATCATGACCATTTTCCTTAGAACATCTAATTTCTTACTATCCTTTCATCCCCAAGATTCCAAGAAAACAATCCCTAAATATACTTACTTTTGAACTAAGAGTTGTTTTTTCAAAAGAAAAAAAAAAAGCAGAAGCAGGAATTGATAGATGGGGGAAATCTTTCTTGTATGGCTTCTACCTGAAACATAAATTAAATTAAGAGGTTGATAAAGGGCATCCTGTGTGTCTGGCACAGGGCAGTATCTGGAGAGTAAATGTTGATTGATGATTGAGTCTCACGAGGCTGAAAGTATCTCTGGAGATAAGAGGGAAAATAAAAGCCAGCACTTCCGTGATAAACAAAAATACCCAGAAGCTTTCTTTAAGCCCAAATCAAGTTCTGGGTCCAGGATGAATTCTCAACACATACCAAGAGGACTTGGGGCCTGTGCCTTGTCATTGAATCTTATTTCATCATTATTTACCCAGAGGATAAGGCACTGTTCTGAATGCTTTGATGGAGGCAATGAAAAAGCCAGCATGGATATTGCTCTAAAGGAGTCAACAATCAGGTGGGGCAGGTAGGGCATGTAGACAAATGACTCCATACCCTGTGGCTCCCTAAGTACAGTAGGTGTTCACGAACACAGTGATAGGAGACTCACAGACCTTTACTACTGGAAGGATCTTAGAGTGGAAAGAGACCTCAGAACAAGTGCTATCTCTTACTCTTACCAGCTGTCTATGTAATGGGACCAATAATATGTGTCTCCCTTGATTTTATGAAGAGTAAAGTGACAGTGAGCATAAACTATAAAGGTGTTACAAATGTAAGGTATAATTGTGAAGATCCTTCTCACTCTTCCCCATTTCCAAACTGAGAAACAGGGACACTGAGACTCAGAGGAAAAATAACATGTCTTGCCCAGTAAGTTAGAAACAAAGTGAGGACTGGAATTGTGGTCTCTAGACCCCAAGTCCAGAGTGAAACATGGGGTGTGCTTGCTAAGAGTAGGAGATGATCCTCAGCTCCTTCCTAACCCATCCCAGATTCAGGTGTTCCTTCTTTCCACTGTTTCTTATGGATCTTGCCCATTTCCCTTTGGATTGGCTATTGTCCCATGGAAACCTGAATAAAATTCCAAAGTAGGGTCAGGAAGTGCTTCCATGAATGAGCTTTGGATTCTGGGTCTTCCACCACCTCCATGGCTTCTAAACATTCACTGCAGATTCTGCTATACCTGACCCCATTGACCATGAACACGCTACCCAGGGGGATCAATGCTGTCAGCACAAAGCTTCCTGCCCTGGGTCCACATCCAGCTGCAACTGAGCTGCTGGAAACAAAATGGAAATTCATGCTAAAAATACAAATGGTGGGGTGCCTGGGTGGCTCAGTCAGTTAAGCGTCTGACTCTTGATTTCAGCTTAGGTCATGATCTCAGGGTGGTGAGATCAACCCCCGCATCAGGCTCCACACTAGGCATGGAGTCTGCTTAAGATTGTCTCTCTCCCTTTCCCTCTGCCTCTCTCTCTGTCTCTCAAAAAATAAAAAAATAAAAATGTTTTCTAAAAGTTTTCAAATAAATCATGCACTTTGTAAACTTTACATTTAGAGGTGTTTTATGATTTCAGTGATTAATACCGCTAGGACTATGTATACCAGGCAGGTAGATTTTGTTGCTCTTCATTTTATGAGGAAACTGACTCTCAGGGTCTGGGCCTAGCTCAAGGTCTCATGGCCAGTGAGTGCCAGAGTTAATGCAAATCCAATTCTCCTAACCCTTAGTTGGGGTCTCTGTTTCCTTACAACCTACCTCTGGCAGAATCTATTTCAGTTGCAGATCTCAGAAACTGACCTAGAACACACTTAGGCAAAAGTGGGCATGTATTAGAAAAATACTAGGATATTGTATATAATTCAAAGGCAATCCATGGGGAAAGCAAGGATACAGCTCAATCCTGGGGACAACTGGAACCAGACAATCAAATATGCCCTGGACCCTCTCTCCCTGCTCCTCTAATGGGCTCTATTATCTCTCTTTAGCAACAGCTTCCTCCAGGAAGAGGGACATAAGGCCACTGACATCTCTCAAGTCTACCATCTTATGGGTTTCCCTCCCAGAGAAAGCCCTACTCTCTGAGTCTTCATTAAAAGAAAAAGGAAGTCCTGGGAAGAACTGAGATTGTCCTGATTTTTATCAGGTGCCCATTTATGGACCATTCAATTATGACCAAGTGGGCAGGGTCATTTAAAATGGTGCCACATCCCCCTTCATTATAGACATGAGGCTGGGGGATATCTGAGGCTGAAAGTAATGGATGATTCTCACTTAGAACACAGGGATTGTAGGCATGAAAGTGGCTGAGACCACCCAGTGAGTGTATAGAAAGAAAAGAAGGAAGGGAGGGCAGAACCCTGGGGAGGGGGTAGGGATGAGATTTCAAGAGTGAAAAGGTGGAAACCTGGGAGGAAAGAGGAAATGAATGACAGAATATATAGATAGAAACCAGGAGAGCCCAGATTGACAGGAGCCAAGTGAGTTTGAAGGAGGAAGGAGAAACCAACCACATCGAGGTCCAACAAAATACACAAAGAATGGCCTTGGGATCTGGCAGAGCAAGGATCAAGAGTGATCTATCCAAATGTCATTTCAGTGGAGGTGGAGGAGTGGAAGCCAGTTGAAGATGAGGCAATGCAGACTGTAAGTGTAGTTCTTCAGGAACTTAGATAGGAAGGGTGGAAAAGCAATAGGAGATGAAGTGACAGAGGTGAGGGGACAGTCCCCTCTATCTTAACCACATGGGTTTTTGGAGCAGATACTCCTGGATATTAAACACTTTACATGCAACTCCCCATTAGGCAATCAAACATCACATCAAATGCTCATGCTATGCAATGTAAGAAACTATTTCTAATAATAATAGCTGATTTTATTGTCATAAATTACACAGATCTGACTCAAAGCTCACATTCTCACCCATTCTTCCTACAACTTCTCCATTGGTAAATGGAATGTCAAGGTGTAAATTATCCAGAGGGAGATGATAGAGCAACAGAGATAAGCTCCTCTTAGCCAACCCCCTTCTTGGGGCCTTTCCCTAAGGAAAAAATGGTCTCTTCTCCTATGTCTATTACCATCTACCTCCATTCCTACCAAGACTCTCTCCCATCTCTCTGAAGGAAACAAAGCCCTATTTAAATTATATTTTTAGGCACAACCATTAATTGTGGACCAAACAGCAATTCCAGACAACTGCAAGATCCAGTTGGCTGCCCTCTATCCTCATGACCCCTCCCCAAAGTGTGGATCTCCCCTTCTCCATTCCTTGAGCTATGGAAAACTTTAGGGCAGGCCATGAGGTCATGTGAAGACTGACTATATATCATACATAGGCAGAGCTAGACTCTGGGGATTTTTGCAGACTGATTTTATTTAGTGTGTCTCACAGCCATTGATCACCTGGCAGACTGTGGTGCCATAGAGAATAGGACCAAACAAAATAGCTGTGTCAACCGGCATTGGCCTCCTGCAAATGAGAAGAATGTAGGACCAAAGTCCCCTCCTCCAATCTCTCATAAAAATAGGTTCCCCTCTAGTTCAGACACAGCCAATGCCTGTGACCTCACTTCAAATACAGCTGTGAGGTGTCGGGTTGCTGACACTCACCTGACTCACACATCCCTGTCCTTTGTCACATCCCCCTTGTTGAGTTTCTCAACAGTGTTTTTCTCCCTGTCTATCCCTGATTTTTAGAGCAGGTAGATGAAATAAGACCTTCCATCTGTTCCCACTAATAAAATACCAGGTGTAAAGGAATATTCTCTCTGAATTAAGAACTTTCCACGTTGAACTATTAACTTGAAGTTTACCCTTTTTCTTCCTTTTTCCCTTCTCTCTCTAAATCCCTTCTCCTACAATTCCTCTCTGCCCAGCCCAGCCCACTGTCTCCTCTCTTTCCACGTTACCATCATCCCTTTTCTCAGTTCTAATCCCTCTATTCCCCATCTCCTTTCTTTCCATGGTCAAGACTACAAAAGAGGCACCAAGGGCACAAAGTTTAAGAAAGCTTGAACGACCCTGACTGTGACTGTCCCTAACCACCTCTCTTGCCTCACCCTAGACCCGTTCCCATTCTTTATTTCCATCCCCATATTTCTATCTTTATATCACTCAAACAAGTATTTTTCTCCCATCCTTATATACTCCTTTGCTCTTTTGACCAGCTGGTGGAATGTTTACTCTTTATATACATAATAACTACTTTATATAGAATACCAATTCAGCTCTTGTATTAAAAAACCAATGTAAGGAGCACCTGGGTAGCTCAGTCAGTTAAGCATCTCAGATCTTAGTTTTTGTTCAGGTCATGATCTCAGATTCCTGAGATCCAGATCCTGTCAGGCTCCACTCTCAGTGGGGAGTCTGCTTCTCTCCCTCTTCCTCTCCTGCCCCTCCCCCGGCTTGCGTATGTGCGCACTCTCTCTCTCTCTCTCTCTCAAATAAAGAAATAAATCTTTTTTTAAAAAAAGAAATACACATATTAAAAAGAAAAAAGCCAGTGTAAGTACAGCATACACGAGACAGAAATGCATTTATCTTTCCTCTAACATCCAAGGGTAAGCAGTTCAAGGCTGACATGGCAGCTCCTACTAGCCCATGGCTCTGTGATCCTCAGGACCTGGCTTCCATCTCAAGGTCAGAGGTGGCTGCTTCAGCTTCCTCTACCACCTCCACTCTCCAGAAAGAGGAATAAAAGAAGGGGAGGAGAGAGTTTGCTCTTTTCTTCTTAAGGGCATGACTCAGTTGTAGACAAGGCTTCCCCTCACACATCCTCGCGACCAGAACTTAGTTATGTCACTGCATCTACCTGCAAGAAAGCTGGGAAATGTGATTTTTTTACTCCCCAGTCATGTGTCCAGCTAAAATTTCTGTCACTGTAAAACCAGGAAAGAGCAGATATTTGGGGATTAACTAGCAATCTTTTCCACAATTATATTCTAAGCAGAATATCAATAGTAAGGAAAGGAAAGTAATAACTATCCTTCTTTTATCCTTTTCTAAACAGGACTCGTTGCATTTTAGATAATCATTCACAGAATCTGGGGCACCTGGGTAGCTCAGTCAGTGAAGCGTCTGCCTTCGGCTCAGGTCATGATCCCGGGGACCTGGGATCAAGCCCCACATCGGGCTCCCTGCTCCGCGGGAAGCCTGCTTCTCCCTCTCCCACTCCCCCTGCTTGTGTTCTCTCCCTCGCTGTGTCTCTCTCTGTCAAATAAATAAATAAAATCTTTGAAAAAAAAAATATGGATTTCCCCAGACCTGACGAATGTCACACTATCCACCAAGACCAAGGCAGCACATGCAGTGGGTTTGAATAAATGCTTCTAAGGTGGAGAAATAAAGATAAATGTTTGCACATGTACAAAAGACATGTAGGAGAAGGCTCACAGCAGTGCTGTTCACAACAGATTAAAACCAGGAACAGGCCAGGCCTCCTGCAGTGGGAGAACAAATGAAAAAATTGTGATCTATTTACTCATCCGAACATATACAACACTCAAAGCAACAACGTACATCAATACACAAAAATAATGAAGAGTCTTAGCAATATAATCTTAAGTCAAAAAAAACTAAAGTGGGGGGCCTGGGTGGCTCAGTTGGTTAACTGTCTGACTCTTTAATTTCAGCTCAGGTCTTGACCTCAGGGTTGTGAGTTCAAGCCCTGCACTGAAGAAAATAAAATAAAATAAAAGATGTATCTTTAGAAATGCATACAAATGCAACAAAACTACCTAAAAAGATGAGAGTGATGGACACAGGAATGAGGATGATCACAACCTCAGATGGAGGAATGGAAGGGGTGGGAGGTGGAAATATGGTTAAATGTATATTATTGTCAAGGGCCTTAACTTTTGCTTTAGATTCTTATTACATTATAAGGAGGGAGGAAGGAAGGACCATTCATGGATGAGTAATGAATGTGTCAGAATTCAATTATTTTGATTATCCCAATTCTATGTACTCTGAGGTCCAATTTAAAGAAAAAATTGGCTAATAGATGCATAAATGGTTTGGTATCCTTGTATTATCAGCTCTTAGAAGGAGAGATTGAATTTTCTTTTCCCAGTTTTGATACTCAGTTGTGTGCCTTGAGGAGAAAATCACAAAGGTTAGCATGAAGGAACCCAGAGTACCTTCTGCTTCTCCTGAAAAATACATGAAATTGAATACACTGATCCCTGCAAGCAGGTGGCAGGCTATGTAAGAGGGGTTGCGGGAATAAGACCATGGCCAAGTGTGATTCCAGCAAAGACAGATCCTCAAAAATATGATGCCTCCCACACAGAGATGTGTGTGCATATGCACACACACACACACACACACACCTGTTGCTGACTATAGAAAAAATCATTTATGTGGAAAAGAAGTTAAGCTACACAGAGAGGAGAAAGAGCAGAATGGGGCAGCTGAGAAGAGTACAAGTAAACTTTGCTGACTTTCTCATTTTGTCTGGACCTCCCTGTCTATTGGGCAAAAGAAGCTCATCTCCCTGGACTATGAGCTTAGCAGTTCTCCAATGCACAGTTGTCAACTTCTGAGACCCTACCGGGGAAAAATGTAAATGTCCACAAGGAGGAGAACCTGAGCTGCAAAGAGCTTTGAGCCCAGTAGAGGGCCGGCGCCTGCCTGGATGTTCAGTTGGTCCCATGGTCAGCAGTTGCTGGCCATACTGATGGGGACTGAATCTCAGCTCTGTCTGCCATCTCCACGACCTCAGTATTGAATTTAATGTCCCTGAACCTTGCCCCCACCATCCATATGATGGGAAGAAGAGTAGCCTTCTCCAGAGGATTATTGGGTAAGGTTAAATTAGATAATACATGCAAAAGAGTCTGGCACATCATGGTCATAGTAAAAGTTCATTCATTCATTATTCATCCTTGTCTCTCCCAGAAAGCATCTAATAAAGAAGTTGGAAGAAGACAAGGCAGCAAGAAATCTGGTATCATGGAGAGTTGCCCACTTGGCCTTATAGAGAATCTCCCTCATCGGAAGCTATTTGTCAACTGTCAACAATGTGACCCCTTGGGGTGCTGGGACAGGGGAAGACACCATATGGGGGCCTTTCTCAGGAAAGAAAAGTTGGTGCTTGGAGGCCCCTTCCTGAGTAAAACCCTCCCTGCCTCCCACCTTCCTCCTCACCTCCAGGCGGATGGATTTGGTCACCCCCTTCTCCAGACTTGGAGCATGCTCAGTCCATATTATCCACAGTAATAACTCCCCATATTAAGCACTCAGTATATACCAGGCACTGGGATGAGCAATTCCCATGCCTTCTGTCATTTAATCCTCACAATAACCCTATGAAGGAGGAAAGTGAAGGTTAGCAAAGTAAATTAATATATCAAGTTGCAAAGACAAAAAATGGCAGAGCTAGAATTCAAACCCCTGTCTGCTGGCTCCAGTGTTTTTAGCCCCTGCACCATACTGTCTGTCTCCCTTACATCCCATCGTGGTCCTTATATCACATGGTGTATAAATCCGTTAGTCATTCCTAATGGGCTGTCAGCTCTTCAGAGGCAGGAACTTCAGAGGACAGGCTCTTTTATCTGTTTATCCCCAGCACCTAGCACAATGCCTGGCTAAGAATGAATGAATAAATGAAGGAAGGAAGGAACAATCTTCTCCAAAGTCAAGGAAGGAGACAGCACCACTGTTCCTCCTAAGTCACTATGACTCATAACCTCTATTCCATCCAAGTTTTGAAGGGTGAGGAGAGGGCAGGTGACTGCATGTATAGGTTGCACCTTCCCTGAAGTGCGCTTCTCACTCACATAAGAGCCCAGAGCTTAGCCATGGGAATGGCACCAAGCCCTTCACTATAAGAGAGATGTTTGCTGGATCTTTAATTCTAGAAAAGCCATCCATCTTCCATTTCACAACTTTTTGCAGCATTAAATCCTATAGAAATTATTCTGGATATTTCCTTCAAATCCATTGAACTCAGCCATTCTCCTGTTTCATATTCGTTACTAGGTTATAGATTATTTCCTTAGTGACCCCAAATGAAACTGCCACTTAATCCCCACATGAGGTTCAGCTCAAAATTTCAGAATGAAAGTAGTATATTGGTTAAGAGTACAGAATCTGAAGTCACATATTCCTAGGTTCAAATTCCAACCTGCTATGTAAGCTTTTTAAAATTCTCTGATCCTGGGGCGCCTGGGTGGGCTCAGTCATTAAGCGTCTGCCTCAGCTCGGGTCATGATCTCAGGGTCCTGGGATCGAGTCCCGCATCAGGCTCCCTGCTCAGTGGGAAGCCTGCTTCTCCCTCTCCCTCGGCCTGCCATTCCCCCTGCTTGTGCTCTCTCTCTCTTTCAAATAAATAAATAAAATCTTAAAACAAAAAAACTCTCTGATCTTGTTTTCACTTCTGTAAAATGGATATAATAATAACTATCTCATACAATTATCAGTCAGATTAAATGAGATAATATATAAAACATTTAGCATAGTGTCTGGCACATAGTAAACACTCAATAAACATTCATTTTTAAAAGTTGGGTCTAGGGCGCCTGGGTGGCTCAGTTGGTTAAGCGACTGCCTTCGGCTCAGGTCATGATCCTGGAGTCCCTGGATCAAGTCCCACATCGGGCTCCCTGCTCGGCGGGGAGCCTGCTTCTCCCTCTGACCCCCACCCCCTCATGTGCTCTCTCTCTCATTCTCTCTGTCTCAAATAAGTAAATAAATAATCTTTTAAAAAAAAATAAAAAATAAAAGTTGGGTCTAATATAAATGGCCAACAGACACATGAAAAAATGCTCAACATCACTCGGCATCAGGGAAATACAAATTAAAATCACAATGAGATACTACTTTACACCAGTCAGAATGGCTAAAATTAACAACTCAGGAAACAACAGGTGTTGGCAAGGATGCGGAGAAAGGGGAACCCTCTTACACTGCTGGTGGGAAGGCAAACTGGTGCAGCCACTCTGGAAGACAGTATGGAGGCTCCTCAAAAACTTAAAAATAGAGCTACCTTACGACCCAGCAATTGCACTACTAGGTATTTATCCAAAGGATACAAACATAGTGATTCAAAGGGGCACATGCACCCCAATGGTTATAGCAGCAATGTCCACAATAGCCAAAATATGGGAAGAGCCCAGATGTCTATCCACGATGAATGGATAAAGAAGATATGGTATATGTATATGTGTGTATATATATATATACACACACACACACACACACACACACACAATGGATTATTACTCAGCCACCAAAAAAATGAAATCTTGCCATTTGCAATGATGTGGATGGAACTAGAGGGTATTATGCTAAGCAAAATAATTTAGTCAGAGGAATAAATATTATGATTTCACTCATATGTGGAATTTAAGAAACAAAACAGATGAACATAAGGAAAGGGAAGGAAAAATAAAATAAGATGAAAACAGTGAGGGAGACAAATCATAAGAGATTCTTAACTATAGGAAAAAACAAACAGGGTTTCAAATTGAGGGTTGCTGGAGTGGGGGGTGGGGTGGGAGGGATGGGGTGACTGGGTGATAGACCCTGGGGAGGCTATGTGCTCTGGTGAGCGCTGTGAATTGTGCAAGACTGTTGAATCACAGAACTGTACCTCTGAAACAAATAATGCAAACAAATAATAATGCAATCTTCTTTTTTAAGAAAAAAAAAAAGAAGAAGAAGAAGAAGGTAGCAGGAGGGGAAGAATGAAGCGGGGGAAATCGGAGGGGTAGACGAACCATGAGAGATGATGGACTCTGAAGAACTAACTGAGGGTTCTAGAGGGGAGGGGATGGGAGGATGGGTTAGCCTGGTGATGGGTATTAAGGAGGGCACATTCTGCATGGAGCACTGGGTGTTATGCACAAACAATGAATCATGGAACACTACATCTAAAACTAATGATGTAATATAGGGGATTAACATAAGAATTTAAAAAAAAAACAGGGTTTCTGGAGGGGAAGTGGGCAGGAGGATTTGGTAACTGACTGATGGGTATTAAGGAGGGCACTTGATGAAATGAGCACTGGGTGTTATATGCAACTGATGAATCTCTAAATTCTACCTCTGAAACTAATAATATACTATATGTTAATTGAATTGAATTTAAATAATTTTTTTTTAATTGGGTCTAGTACAGGGACATCTAAGGCGGTTACACAGGTGCTGGTACTCCCAGGATAGAGTCCAGCTCACTCTAACTTTAGGGTTTCCTCAGATTACCACAAACTCCCTGACCACTCATCTAAAAGTTTAACCTGCTATGAATCCTGCCCACATACAGAGATCTCAGAGCCATTCCACTGCCTCATTCTTAAACATGAAGGTAACCAAGAATCCTTAGGCATTGTTATTTAAAAATCTGCCACATGAAAGAGAAAAACCAAAATAAATAGCAAAATTGACCTAACAAAGCAGAGATAATTTAAGGAACAAGAGAAAATTTTTAAAACTCAGAAAGATTTGAGAAGATACTGCATCTGTAATACAAAGGTATAAAAAGGAATTGAGCATAGTCGTTCCTCAAAAAATTAAAAATAGAATTACCATATGATTCAGCAATTTCACTTCTGGGTATATGCCCGAAAGAATTGAAAACAGGGTCTCAAAGAGATATTTGTACACCAATGTTCATAGCAACGTTATTCACAATAACCAAAAGGTGGAAGCTACCCAAGTGTCCCTCAATGGATGAAGGATATACGGTGTGCACCCCTTTGTTTACTGCAACGTTATTTACAATAGCCAAATTATGGAAGCAGCCCAAGTGTCCATCGATAGATAAATGGATAAAGAAGATGTGGTGTGTTGGGCGCCTGGGTGGCTCAGATGGTTAAGCATCTGCCTTCGGCTCAGGTCATGGTCCCCGGGTCCTGGGATCGAGTCCCACATCGGGCTCCCTGCTCCTTGGGAGTCTGCTTCTCCCTCTGACCCTCCTCCCTCTCATGCTCTCTGTCTCTCATTCTCTCTCTCTCAAATAAATAAATAAATAAATAAATAAATAAAATCTTAAAAAAAAAAATAATGAAATCTTGCCCTTTGCAACAACATGGATGGAGCTGGAGAGTATAATGTTAAGCAAAATAAGTCAGTCAGAGAAAAGACAAATACCACATGATTTCTCTCATATGTGGAATTTAAGAAACAAAACAAACAAAGAAAAAAAGAGAGAGAAACCAAGAAACATACTCTGAACTATAGAAAACAACTAATGGTTACAAGAGAGGAGGTGGGTAGGGTGATAGGTAGCATAGATGATGGGGATTAAAGAATACACTTATCATGATGAGCACTGAGTAATGTATATACTTGTTGAATACTATATTTTACACCTGAAACTAATATAACCCTGTATGTCAACTATACCGGAATTAAAATCAAAAACTTAATTTTAAAAAAAGATTAACCAAAAAAAATTGGACAGAGAAAAAGAAAATGTGACCTGTACATACAATGGAATATTATTCAGCCTTTAAAAGGAAGGAAATTCTGGGCGCCTGGGTGGCTCAGTCGTTAAGCGTCTGCCTTCGGCTCAGGTCATGATCCCAGGGTCCTGGGATCGAGTCCCGCATCGGGCTCCCTGCTCAGTGGGAAGCCTGCTCCTCCCTCTCCCACTCCCCCTGCTTGTGTTCCCTCTCTCGCTGTGTCTCTCTCTGTCAAATAAATAAATAAATAAATAAATAAATAAATAAATAAATAAATAAAATCTTTAAAAGGAAGGAAATTCTGACATATGCTACAACATGGATGAGCCTTGAAGATACTATGCTAAGTGAAATAAGCCAGTAACCAAAAGACAAAGACTCTATGATTCCATTCCAATGAGCTACCTAGAGTAGTCAAATTCAGAGACTGAAAGCAGAATGGTGGTAGCCAGGGGCTGGGGTGGCAGCGAAGAAGGGGTTATTGTTCCTTGCATACAGTTTCCTTTTTGAAGATAAAAAGACTTTGGGAGATTGGTTTCATAACAAGGTGAATGCACTTAACACTACCAAACTACACACTTAAAAATGATTAAGGTGGCAAATTTTATATTGTGTATATTTTATCACAATTTAAACATTTTAATTGAGAACAAAAAAATAATTCTTGGAAATTGAAAGGAATGTTGCTAAAACTTTTAAATGCAATATGAAGACTTAAAGATGAAGTTGAGGAAATGTCTTAGTTCATAGAAAAAAAGGACAATGAGATATAAAATATGAGATTTTTTAAAAAGAGAAGAAGGAACAGGGGCACCTGCCTAGCTCAGAGCATGTGACTCTTGATCTCAAGCCCCATGCTGGGCATGGAGCCTATTTAACAAATAAATAAACTCACACACACACACAAAAAGGGACAATCCAGGAAGTACAACATCTCATTCCTTGGGAACTTCAGAAAATAATAATAATAATTAAGGAGAAGGAAAAAAGTCAAATCAAGAGAATTTCCCAGAGAGGAAAAATGATGCACAGTTTCAAACTAAAAGGGTCTACTGAGTGCCTAGCACAATAGACATAAAAAGGTATACAATTAGATAAATTAACATAAAACTTCTGAAAACCATGGATCAAGACAAAATCCTAAAAGCTGCCAAAGAAAAATAAATAATAATACAGCCCATTCCCAAAGCTGAGGAATTAGTCTGACAACAGATCTTTCGTTAGCAACACTTCCAATTAGCAATAATACCTCATGTTAGTGTACCAGAAGACAATTCAGTAATGGCTTCAGGCTTGCAGGAAAGAGCCTTCATTGTGAATCCCAAACTCAGCTGATACTGAGTAAGAATAGAACAAGCACATTTTCAGATATGCAAAGACTCAGAAAGTCCACCTCCCATGCCTCCTTTTTAAAGAAGTTATCTGAGGGCGCCTGGCTGGCTCAGCCAGTAGAGCATGTGACTTGATCCCAGGGTTGGAATTCAAGCCCCACGCTGGGTGTAGAGATGACTTAAGAATAAAAATTTTTTTAAAAAAAGTCATTCGAGTACATTCTCAAGTAACTTCCTCAAATACTTTCCTGAGGAGTAAACCAAGAAAAGTACGCCAAACTCATGAGGGAATAAACAGAGAAAGAGGAAGGTATGGACCACATGAACACAGAACCCACATAGGAATAAGTCTAAATAAAGGGAAATGTCAGGGTTACGGTTGTGCAGCAGGCCCAGAAAGCAACCAGCTCAGATTGGAGCAGAAAAATAAAGTCCTATAGCAGAGAGGTTTATGAGATTGTATAGAAGAAAACTTGGAAAATAAGCCTTGAGCATATGATGAAGCCCCAGAATTCAATCTGTAAAAGCAATTAGAAATTTAGTGAGGAAGGAAACATAAGAAAGTCATTATCTAAATACAAAAAAAAAAAAAAAAGAACGGTCCAGGGATGCCTGGATGGCTCAGTCAGCAGAGCATGTGACTCTTGATCTCAGGGTTGTAAGTTTGAGCCCCACATTAGGTGTAGAGATTATTTAAAAATAAAATCTTAAAAAAAAAAAAAAACAGTTTGTATCAGAACAGGAAGTGATTCAGATTCAAGAAAGGAATTAAATGGTTATCAAGGGAAAAGGAAAATGAAGAGATGGAAGATATAAAAGATACAATGAAGAAGGTATTTCCTCTCCCAACAAATAGAAAGGCCATCAGAAACTTCAGAGAAAACAACAAACATGTAAAATGGCAACGTACAGATTAAAACAGTGTATCATTTTAGCAATGGATTTTTTTTTTTTTAAAGATTTTTATTTATTTTTTTGACAGAGAGAGACATAGCGAGAGCAGGAACACAAGCGGGGGGGTGGGAGAGGGAGAAGCAGGCTTCCCGCAGAGCAGGGAGCCCGATGTGGGACTCGATCCCAGAACCCTGGGATCATGACCTGAGCCGAAGGCAGACGCTTAACGACTGAGCCACCCAGGTGCCCCTGGATTTTTATTTTTAAAAAGAATAATTTTTTTAGCTTGATGATATAAGCCTTTGAAAATGAAATGCAAACAATCATAACATGGTATTTGGCCCTGCAAGTAAACTGTGTTTGCCTAATAATAGCAGTTTAAATACTGGAGGTTTCGGAAGGGGTTCACATTTTAGAATAAATCTATAAAAATTACAGAAGATGCAGTGAGCCTGGGTGGCTCAGTTAGTTAAGCATTTGACTTTGGCTTAGGTGGTGATCCCGGGGTCCTGGGATCGAGCCCCTCGTCAGGCTCCCTGCTCAGCAGGCAGTCTGCTTGTCCCTCTCCCTCTACCTCTCCCCCTGCTCATGCTCTCTCTGTCTCTCTCTCAGGTGTATAAATAAAATATTTAAAAAAAAAGAAATTACAGAAGATGATAGTTACATATTATATAACTAAGATGACATTTAAAATGTGACTTCTATCAGTTAAAAACTTTGAAAGTAAAAGTACACCTGACAATATCCCAGTAGCAATGACCATGTCAAGCACACAGAGCTTGGTTCCCAATACCATTTTCCAATAAAAGGAACCAGGGCTCCTTTTTTTTTTTTTAAAGATTTTATTTATTTATTTGAGAGAGAGATAATGAGAGACAGAGAGCACGAGAGGGAAGAGAGTCAGAGGGAGAAGCAGACCCCCTGCTGAGCAAGGAGCCCAATGCCGGACTCGATCCCAGGACTCCAGGATCATGACCTGAGCCGAAGGCAGTCGCTTAACCAACTGAGCCACCCAGGCGCCCAGGAACCAGGGCTCCTTGAAGAAATGACTGATGCTAAGGCTGGGACAGGAACATACAAGATAAGCCTAGAGCTAGAACTCAGCAATCCTAGTTCCAGAAAGAAATAAGTGTTCAAAACAAAACAGAATAAGGGGCGCCTGGCTGGCTCAGTTGGAGGAGCATATGACTCTTGATCTCAGGGTCCTGAGTCTGAGCCCCACATTGGGTGTAGAGATTACCTAAATAATTAAAACTTTAATGGGGCACCTGGGTGGCTCAGCCGGTTAAGTGTATGATTCTTGATCTCAGATCAGGTCTTGATCTCAGGGTCATGAGTTCAAGCCCAGCAGGGAGCCTACTTTCAAAAAAAAAAAAAAAAACTTTGGGGAACCTAGGTGGCTCAGTCAGTTAAGCGTCTGCCTTTGGCTTAGGTCATGATCCCGGAGTCCTGGGATCAAGCCCTGTGTTGGGCTACCTGCTCAGCCAGGAGCCTGCTTCTCCATCTCCCCCCTGCTCGCGCTCTTTCTCTCTCAAATAAAAAAATTAAATATTTTTTTAAATAAAATAAAAACTTAAAAAAACAAAACAAAACAATTAAAAGATGTCAAAGAGGGGATAAATGTCAGTAGATAAATCCAACAAACACTACCTCAGTGAGGCGATCCAGGTTAATATCATCAGTGATGATATCATACTTATGACAGTGATAAGTCATACTTATAACACATCCTCTTGATATGATGTGTTGATAATGAAACTTTACCTCCATGGCCTTCCTCTCAAAAGACACATAACCTCAGTCTAACCATGAGAAAAACATCAGACAAATCCACCTGAAGGATATTTTACAAAATACCTGACCAGTACTCCCTAAAACTATCAAAACAATCAAAAACAAAGAAAGTCTGAATCATTTTCATAGTCTTAAAGAGCTTAAGGAAACGTAACACTTAAATGTAATGTGATATCCTAGAGTGGGTCCTGGAACAGAGTAGAGATATTATATAAAAACTAGGGAAATACAAATAAAGTATGGATTTAGTTGATAATAATGTACCAATACTGGTTCATAGTTGTGACAACATGTAAAAACGTTAATAGTAGGGGAAACAGAGTGTGGGTTATACAAGAATTCTCTATATTATTTATGCAACTCCTCTGAAAACAAAATAATTCTAAAACAAAATGTTTGTTTTTAAAATGCATATCTGACAGAGGTTGGGAGATAAAGGGGGAAAAGAAGTGAAAGGAAGGATGGGGTGCTAAAAATTATGGTAAGTTAAGATCTTATTTTCTTATTCTTAACCCTTCTAAAAGATAATTTTGAAGTAACAACAGCAACAATGTATTTAATGATTATTGCATATGGATAAGTGAAATGAATGACAGACAAGGAGTGAGAGAGAAGAATTGGGAATATTGTTTTTAAGGTATCTACACTACGAGTGAAGCAGGAATAGCATCATTTGAAGGTGGATTTAGTTTAGTTAAAAATATATACCTTTAACTCTAAGACAACCACTGAAAAGAATTTTAAGAATTTTTTACTGATGTGCTAAGAAAGGAGATAAAATGGAATCATACAAATTGTTCATCTCAAACCAAAGAATTCAGAAGGAAGAAGCATCTGGCAATTAATAGAAAACAATAGTAAACACGGTTGACATTAATCCAAATATATCAATAATAACTCTAAATGTGAATGGTTTAATCAACCAATTAAAAGAGAGATTGTCAGAGTGGATTTTTTTTAAAAAAACAACTATATGTTGTCTACAAAAACCAAATTAAAAATAAAGACACGGGGGCTCCTGGGTGGCTCAGTCGGTTAAGTGTCTGCCTTCGGCTCAGGTCATGATCCTGGAGTTCCGAGACTGAGTCCCGCAAGGGGTTGGGGGGGGGTGGGGTCCCTGCTCAGCGGAGAGTCTGCTTCTCCATCTGCCCCCCCCCATGCTCTCTCTCTATCTCATTCTCTCTCTCAAATAAATAAAATCTTTAAAAAATAAAATAAAATAAAAACAGTATCAAAATACACAAAGCAAAAACAGAACAAAAAGGAGAAAAAGATGAATCCACAATTATAGTTGGAGACCGCAAAACCCAATGTCAGTAACTGATACATCTAGCATGTAGAAAATCAATAAAGATATAGTTGACATGAAGAGCACTATCAATCAACTTGATCTGATTGATATTTATAGAATACTCTATCCAACAACAAAATACATTCTTCTGAAGCTCACTTGAAACATTCACCAAGATAGATCATAAAACACACCTTAGCAAATTTAAAAGAATGGAAATAACACAAAAGATGTCATTTTAAATTAATATTAGTTGTTTGAACATAAATAGCCCCAGAATGAAGAAAATTGACCTTTATCCTATTACATTTTAGTGGATATATGCTTTTAAAAATATCTATTTTCCTTTACTTTTTTTGTTTTTTTTATTTTAATTCCAGTATAGTTAACATACAGTATGATATTAGTTTCAGGTGTACAATATAGTGGTTATTTTCCTTTGCTTTTTTTGCTTGCTCAACAATATGCCTTCTGATATCCTCTGCCTGGCTAATGCCTACTCATGCTCAGTCCAAACTTAAAAATTAAAAACTTTAATATAGTAAAACAAAAACATAAACAAAGTTAGTAATTGAAAAAAATCTACAGAACATAATGAAATATTTATGACATAAAGGATTAATGTCCTTAATATATAAAGAGATTTTATAAATCAATAAGAAAAAAAATGAGTAGATTTATTTTTGGCTCTTAGCCCACACAGCAACAAGAATAGTATCTTTAAATCCCAAATCTGGCTGTGTCATTCCCCTACTTAAAGTTCTTCAATGACTTCGCATGGCTCTTAAAATAGAGTCCAAAACTCTTAACACAACCCACATGATCTGGTCCTTACTTACCTCTCTAGACTCTTCTCCCATCATCCCCCACCCCTCCCTCTCTGGACTCCAGTCAGGCTGGTCTTTTTTCAGTTCCTTGATAACATAACATTTTTGTACATGCTGATCACTTTTCCTAGAGTCACACCACCACTCCCTTCACCTGACTGATGCCCATTCTTTCTTCAGATCTCAGCTTAAATATCATTTCTCAGGGAAGTCTTCTGTCATCAACTCCAGATCATTTTGGATCCTCTATAATATGTGCTCTTCCTAGCCCTTACGCCAACAGATGAAATTCAGGTTTCTGAATCCTCAGTGCTCAGAACCAT